ACGGGGCTATATTATTTAACTCAGCCCATAAATCACTGTTGAATATTTCCATGCAAGACAGATGTGCTTGCTTTGACTATGTTCACATTACAGTCATACAAAATCCTTTCACCTCACCAAAGAAAGGCAGGAAGATTAAGGGAAGGAAAAAAAAAAAAAAAGAGAAGAAAGCAGAAAGATTGGTTCTAACAACCTTAAAAAGTGACAGTATGAATAACTGCATCCTAGTGATCAGCGGTGTCCCACAGGGGTTTGTCTTGGGAGCAACACTCTTCAACATATTTATCAGCAACATCTACAGTGGGATCAAGTGCATCGTTAGTAAGTTTGCCAACGTCACCAAACTGAGTGGTGCAGTTGACACAATAGAAGGGAGAGATGCCGTCCACAGAGACATGGACAGGCTTGAAAAGTGAGCCCACAAGAAACTAATGAGGTTCACTAGGCCGAGTACAAGGCGCTGCCCTTGGATTAGGGCAAACTCAGATACGGGTACAGATTGGAAGAAAAACTCCTTGGGAGCAGCCCTGCAGAGAAGAACACGGGGGTCCTGAAGGACAAATAGCTGGACGTGACCCAACAGTGTGTTCTTGCAGCCTGAAATGTCAGCAGTATTCTGGGCTGCATCAACAGAGGGGAGGCAGCACGGAGAGGGAGGTGATTGTCCCTCTCCACTCTGAACTTGTGAGGACCCATCTGGAATGCTGCATCCCAGCCTGAGGCCCCCAGTAAAGGAAGGATGTGGAGCTATGGGAGAAGGACCAGAGAAGGGCCACAAAATGGTTGAAAGGTTAGTGCAACTCTATTATGAAGAAAGGCTGGGGGAGCTGGAACTGTTCAGTCTAGAGAAGAGAGAACTCCGAGGAAACCTAGTTGCAGCCTTCCAGTACTTCAAAGGAGCTTAAAAATCAGGAGGAAGATCAACATTTTACATCATCTGATAGTGACAGAACAAGGAGGAATTGTTTTAAGCTAAGAGAGGGAGAATTAAATTGGATATTAATTGGAATTTTTTCACTCAGAGGGTGATGAGGCACTGGCAGAGTGCCCAGAGAAGCTGTGGATGCCCAATCCCTGAAGGCATTCAAGAACAGGTTGAATGGGGTCCTAGCCCCCTAGCTCCCTGGTGGGGAGCAACTGTCTCACAGCACTGGGTTGGAACGGGCCTTTCCAACTCAAGCTATTCTACGATTCCATGATCTCCAGTCAGTCCAGTTACTAGTTTTGAACTGTGAACATTAACTGTTGCCTCAACGTCCTTAAAAATGTATTAACATCTCTTAAATTTAAAATGGACTCTTACAAAAAGATTGACTTGTGAAGCAGAAGCACAACAAGAAATAACCGACTAAAAAGGAAATACTTTCCCCTAGTAACGCTTTCAATATAAACTTATGGGTCCCAATCTATAATTCTTAACAATAAATTGCAGAATGGAAAAGCATTAATAAAGTAATTTTTTGTCTGAACTCATGGTAGAGGCAGTCAGCCTATGCTCTCAGATATGCAGATGGTGATCCAGTACATTTTATAAAAAAAAGTGAGTTTAGTCAGCTGAACAAAACATCTTCACAAGAAGGGAAGAAAAATAGAACAAATTACATAAATTCTCTTATTTCTGTATTCTCAGCATTCTAAAGAAGAAAAAAAACACTGAAACAATGAGTTCTAAAATTTCCTCTATCATGTCTTACATAATTAGCTTGGTAATTAATTTTTATTTTACATGACATTTTCTTAGTTATTTTAAAAATATTGGTATTATTGGTATCTAGTCATTAATTACTATTACTAAAAAATGAAAGGAGAATAAAGCAAAAAAATCATCATTTAGAATTCATTATGCAATTCATTAGGATGACTAAGGAAGTAAGGATGAACTGTGCCAAACAGTACGAGGGTAAAGCATTTGGATAGGAACTGGCCCACAGGTTAAAACAAAAGAAAACAAACTAAAGAATGAAAATGTGTCCACCCATCCACTGCTACAACTGAGGATCAGTTGTAGAACAGACCAAAAATCATCACTGGCCTTCAAGTTCAATAGTCCTGATGAAATCATGATTTGTCACTGGTTTTGGCATTTCAGACATCAGTGAAGGTTATTTGGTATGGATAACACTCTAGAGAAGGAACGGCCTTAGAGAAGCAGGAAAATTTCATCCCTGAAACAAGGAGGATAGTGAAGTTCAGGTAAACAGTGATGAAAAAAACCCCAAAACCCTGAGAAGTTCACCAAGCAAAAACAGTCAATACAAATTAGACATTTGGATTGAAAAAGCACAACAAGATGGAATTTTGAGATACATATGATCAATCTGCTCTCTTTTTTTCTGTATTTCCTGTACTTAGCTGCTACATTGTCCCTACCTGGATGGTTTAGAGTGAAGTGTGCTCATATATTTATAAATGAGTACATTCTTCTCATCAGATATGGAAAACAGAGGGGCAGAACTCTGCCAGACTGTTTGTAGCAAAGATGATACACATGTTGATAGTGAATTCCAAAGGAAAGCTTCTCCACAGGTGCTACAGCAGGCAAATAATGGATTTACGGGGGATTTAGAGGGAGCTATTATCAAACATTTTCTCATTATTACAAAAAAAGTAACAGTAATTGAATTTAATGATTAAAAGAACAAGGTCAAAAAGTTTAAGAGCAATCAGAGGTCAGGAAAAATGACAAACTTTCCTGTCAGGACTCATTATGTCATTTGATCTTAATCCAGCTGCACAAAAAATAAAATCTTTTCAATTAACAGAACTCATTGATTTGACTTTTATTATGGGTGTGAATCTGTCGGGTATATTTTCCATGAGAGTGACATAGTTGTTTGTGGAAAGTATACCTCCTTATGCTTATATCATGTATTAAACACAAGATAGTTTGAAATAAAAATATCAGCCACTAAAATTTATTGTTTGTAAAGCTATCTTTTTCTAAGGTTGGATTCACATACCTTACCGTAAAATTTATATAAATGCCTCTTTTGCTGCATTCAAAATTTAACTCTGTGTGTCCCCTTTCCAAGATACATCGCACAAGAGTTGGTTATATAAGATTTCATACCTCATTTTTGAAGAGCAGTTCAGCTTGAAGTTGACTATAATATTGCAAGTGATCACATTCATCAGTGGGACTGATCTACAGAATTTAGGAAGAACTTTTTTCCCCTATAATGGGTACTGCCATGCTCTACATGGAACGTATAACACAGGAGGAACTGTCTCAGCAGCACCAGAATAGGGCGCCAAATATCAAGAAAATCAGCATTCAGCTATGCATCTCTAACATATTTTCTCATAAGGAAATGTCTAAAGGATTCCAAAGAAATGCTAATAAATCTATTCATGTATGCAATAAAAATATATAGAGAATAAAAACTTACTGTGATCGAGTATTCCAAAGCGAGATTCAAGCTAACAAAAACCAAAGACAAATGACTTCTAAAACCTACAAAAATAAACTTGCTCCCACTGAAGTTCCTGTCAAGTTTCCATTGATATCAATGCTGTGGGAATGATCTCTAATACTTTAGATGCGTGTCTAATCTATATTGTTATTTTCTGGCACAATCCTACTTGGAATGGAGGAGAGTGATATGAAAAGGGTGTTTTGTTTGCAAACTTGGAAAGAAATCCGAGTTGGATTAGATTGCACAATAAAGAAGCCAGTGAAAGGGAATTTGACACTCACCATTTTGGCAGAACAGTTTAGTTTATCAAAACTAAAAGATATTTTAAATTAAAATTGAAAGGAAGAAAACTGAAGTGTTAAATTTCTCCCAGTGTACTGGGAAGTTTGGTTAATGAAATTACCTTATTTCAAGTCATTTAAAACTAGTACCCTAAAATATTGCAGAATTAAAAAGAAGTACTGCTGGCTATGAAACAGAAAAGCTATTAATCCTTTATCCTAGCATGCTACATCTCAAACTCTCTCTCACAAATCCTGTATTTCTTACTCATTCCCAATTATTATTGAATTAAATGGGATTTTTCAGTTCCTACTCAGCATACTATTTAAACATGTTCTCAACTTCATACACATGGGGCAACCTAAATCCTTATCTAAATTTGACTTCAGTGTAAATTAAGTGCAAGATTATGACAGAGTAACCACTCTCGTGTTTGAACTGGGAACAGATGGGAAGGAGTCCTTCCAACTTCTTTTGTTCTCACAGGTGCTAAATCCTCACTTTGAGGTCACTTTCACACCTTTTGCAAAATAGGGTTAACAGTTCTTGATAGTAAGATGTATCATTTTATCAAGTTGTTATACAACACAGCACATGTGGGCAGAGAAATGGAAAATGGGAAGAAACATAATATGAATCACGTTCTTTCCACAATATCAGAAAATCAGAGGACTGGAATATTTTCATATTGTTGGCATAAATATACATATAGAATACACAAACAGGATCCAAATTAAGTTTATAAACTTTTTTTTTTTTTTTTTTTTTTGCTAAATCCAGCTAGACAGTGCTAGGAAATATTTACATTAAAGATTACCTATGTGATACAGGAGTTAATATAATTCATATCAAGTATGAAATACAACACTAAGTTTAGAAATACGTGTTAATCAATTAAGCAATATGACATTAATGTTTTGCTCCCCCTACTTAACCACATCTTAGTCACAACTTGACAGTGCAATGAGCACTGTGCCTTTGATCTCTTTCCTGACCCATCAAATAGTATCAGTCAATGCAAAATGGGAAAAAGGCTGATGCAGCTGATGTTCTTTCAAACAAAGCTAGAAGTCAGTCTCCATTTGTGGCCATTTGCTCCTCAGTTGCCACTGAGCAAAGACAGAACAAATTTCATGACCTAGAATTAGAAGGATCTACCAGATGCTAATAAATCCATGAGTCAGTTAACCTAACAGAGTTTCTTTATTCTTTGACAGTATCAGACAAATGAGTTAGTGCTGGTTAAAAAGAAAAATAATTCCAAGGAGGGAGTTAGCAGATAAAAAAAAATAAAACCTTTACCCTAATAAAGAGAATCTTCTCTCCAACTCTGTACCTTCCTTGTGAAAGGCGCTCCACACAGAATTTATTAGGGCATTTACAAGGTGGATCTTCAGAAATGTGTTTAACCTGGAGGAGAAAGCAAAGTTGGCAAAGCTAAGTAAAATATTGTAGAAAAACATTCAAGAGCACGTTTATCATAACACAATAGCATTAATTTAAGTCTTCAATGCTGTTGTTTTTTTTTTAATTACCTTTTCAATCTCAACATTTTTAATAGTTCAACAGTTTTAACGGTTGTGATTATTTAATAGCTTTAATTATTTTTGATAACTATTATTTTGCATATCATCTCTATAAAAGGAAAATAGCAAACTCTTCACTAGAGCCAAAATTCTATTGAACTTCTAGAGAATTCTGTGAGAGTTATGAATGAAAAAAAACAACTGAGTGAGAACTGAGGATTTGGCCCTTCTTGCATAGGTAACAGCATTGTAATAGCATTATAATGGGAATTGGAAGATGAAAAGGCATTCAGAAACTAAAAAGGGTTGCTTACACTTGCCTTAGGATCACTGTAGGAAGCATACTAAACTAACAGGCACATAAGATTGCCCAGGCACACTGCTCAGGAGCTGCACCAAATTTAACCTGATTCAAGAATCAGCCATACATTTGACTTGAAATATAAACCATGTGAAATCAACTAAAAAAAAAAAAAAGTTGTTACATACACACAAACGTTCAATTCCTTAAAAACTAGATATATTAAATACAATAAGAATTAGTGTTTTAAACTCTTTCCTGTAATCCCAGACCGTGGTTCTTCCAATGACAAAAAAGGATTTTACAGCTGCAAAGAGGTAGAAATAGAGACAAGTATCACAGTTAAACTTTTTTATATAGAATTTGCTATGTTTAACTGAAATCTACAAAACATTTTGAATATCATAGAATCACAAGGTTGGAAAGGACCTACAAGATCATCCAGCCCAAGCGTCCTCCCACCACCATTGCTACCACAAGCTACTAACCCACATCTCGTAGCTCTTCATCCACACAATATGAGTTCAGCAAACTTCTGTAGATACATGCTCAGTATTTCACAGTAAATCAGTTGACTTGTGAAGGTACTAGTACAGCTAACATGAAAAATGAAGCATGTGATCTTGGCTTACTGATGAAAGGCCCTACCCAATACTTTCACGTGGCACTTGCAGGTAGTGCACTTGCACCTTAGAAAAGATGGACATGGGAAATTATGATGTAGTCACAGATCTGCACCAAGCTGCACCAGTATTGCTAACTACCCTTCAATAATCCCCACCATAGAGCATTAATGCAATCAAGAATAATTAAAGCAGCCCCAAGAGTGCTATGTTTTATCTGTGCCAGATGTGACTCCATACTTTTCTATTTGTTGTCAGCTGCACTAACTTGACTTCAATCTCTCATGAAAACATAGCCTTGCAAGTTATCAAAGTCATTAATTCTTAGTAAAATTTTGATACTTTAATTATCTGAAAGTAGCATAGCCATCAATGCCAAAATAGATCTAGGTGGAAAACTCTCATTTGATGTTCAAATTGCGTGCAAGAACAGCAATGACAAGTGCACTGCAGTTTTCTTTGATGGAATCTGACTTAGTGCATCAGTGTCAAACTATGCAAAATGCTGGAGGAACATACTAGAGATTTTATCCATCTCAAACAGTATTACAAAGACCTTTTGAAATCTAGTTTGTAAATCAAGGCCCTGTAAAAGTGATCCGAGGACTATGAAATGTTTTATATTAGCTAAAAAATGCACCATTTAAAATTGTTGTAGGAAAACTAACAAAATGGTAAAGATACAACACTCTGAGATAAGGTGATTAACCTGAATAAATAAATTAAAAAAGACTTCTGAAATAAAAAATTTAGAAGGTTATAATATGCTAAACAAACTAGAAAGACATTAAGAGTTAATCAAAACACTTCTTTCTGTACTAGAATGGGGAAAAAAAAAACACTCTTTTGACACTAGTTCTGGTAACACAATTTGAAGGCTGATTATGCCTGAAGTTGTTCAATTTGTTATCTGAATAACATAATTACTTGGAAACCTTGTTAAGGTTAGAACTGTTAACTCTTTGGTTGTGAGGGGCATTAGGGGGCGCTATATTTTTTGTGAAAAATACTTCATTTTCAAATTACATTAGCAACTGGACTCTACATGTATTTGACATACAGTAAGTGTTTAAGTGAGTTGTCTTCAAATTGAAGAACAATTATTCAATTGTTTCTAATGAAGAAATGGGAATTGTTATTGAACTATTTGGATGGTCAGCTACAAAAGGTATCACATCGGTGAAGCCAATGGTCGATGACTTAAATCCAGTGTAAATTGCTGAGGATGAAATAGTACATTCCTGCACTTCTTGCAATGTGGAAGCAAGTCCCCTAAACACAAGCCTAGTCCATTTCACAGTAGCTTTCTGAATGCTGACTGATGATCAAGGATTTCTGATGTAATAACCTACAGCAGTTATCACCTCTGGAGGCACAATGGATAATTCAAAACTAAAAATGGATAGTGTGAAATATGCCTTTGTAACTACATCTAAACAAGTAAAAAGACAAAAGTAGACAAAGAGAGGTTCAAGGTTGTTTTGAACTGCGTAAGCAAAAGCCAAAAAGCTATATTAGACATTGGGAATGAAAGCTAACAGATTTATGTTGGTGTAAAGCAGAGGATAATGAGACCTTCACTGCTGATCCTGCTATTAAGGCTCCCATTACCTTACTATCCCAAGGGACACAGAAGTATTATTGACTGGAATTTGGAAATCAAATAAGGAAGCAGAGTGAAGAATTATATCCTATTTTACTTTGTGTCTGGACTATATGAGCACTGCTACTATTTTATGGTGTGAGTGTCTGGGGCAGCGAGGGTCAGGAATCTAACTGGAGGAATTTCATTAGGTTTCTATCCCTACTGCTTTCTAAATTAAAGGAGGTGGTTGGAGACAACCTTCATACTTTTCCTGTTACTCCAAGATACAGTCACCACTATCCTTCTGCACATAATTGTTGTTTCTCAATTCTGTTGAAACACAAGCAAGTGCTTTTGAAAAGCTGAGGAAGAAATACAAAATGCAAAACCAATCTAAATGTAATTATTTGCATGAAATAGTATGAAGTAATAAAATGAACGAACATTATATCCCATCTGCTTTTTCTAGCAAAAAAAAAAAAAAAAGAAAGAAAAAAAAAAAGCGGCACATGGATTTTTCAAGAAGTGCTTTGTAACTCCCAGGTGGCACATCTATCTTGTAATATAGCAGTTGCTATAGTAACTGCTTCTTTTTATAGAATATATTTGTACAATTCAGATTTAACCTTTTCATGGTCTCAGAATGTGTTCTTTTCATGCGATTCCAGTAGTTTCAAATAAACCTCTCTGAAGCTTGCAACAGAGATATGAACACTACTGCATAATGCATTGAGTTTGGTGAAATTCATAGCAAGATTCTTCCTGACAATGAGGAAAAAACCCTCTTTTATTTTTTACTATCTGAGGAACATGCAGAAGAGCAGTATAGAAGTTATCTCAGCCTAGTTTTTAAGTGTTAGCCATCTGTACAAGGCTGTAGGGGCCAAATCTCATAGTCCTGACTCAGTCCTTTCTCAGACAAAACACCAAGTGGGAGTCGATGAATAAGTAGTCAACAGAAAAAGACAACACAGTAATAAGAAGGGAACTTGGCCTTTAACACCAAGCTAGGCTAAACTACAGATCTCCTACACAGTGCTACATTTTTTCCAAGCCTCAGGCATAAGTAACTGTGGTTAAAAGCAAATTAGTGCTATCAGTCTGCAGATCTGTAAAATACAGTGAGATCTGAAGCCGCTGTACATTTTGCAATTGCCTAGAATAGATCAGCTAGGAAGCTTTCCTTACAGCATCATCCAACAGCTTCCCTGTGCTCTTTTTCCCAGGAGACTTTGTTGGTGATGGTGAGGGAGATGGAAGGGGGGCTGAAAGCGTTTCCTCTTGTTCGATCTCTTTTTCCAGCTTTATTAATCCAGGAGGCTCCACCCCAAACCTTTTGGAAACATGCAAACAAATGAAGAGTCCTTTTAAAGTATTCAGTATCTTAAAACAAAATGAGGCAGAGAATTTCAATTGTTTATATCATACAACTGTGCAATAATATATTGCTATGTGCATTAGTAAATGAGTACCAAATATATCACCCTTTGAAGCTATAATTACAAATTAATGCAATTACATGAAATGGTAGCTGTTACTTAAATTTACAGTAAATATTGTTTGTCTGATAATATATGTCTGTAAATTACTAACTTATGAAGTACACTAGGCCTGAAAGTGCTGTAATCTAAAAGACTTAAAGTTCTGCATAATAGCATTTTACATTTTACATTGTTATTCTTCTATAGGTGTGGGTTTTTTTTTTTCTTTTTTTTCCCCTTTTTGTGTATGTGTTTTTACACAGCTCTGACTGAAAAGGGATTAAAAATGGTCCAGGACACAAGTATTGCACCAGATTTACAGACCAATATATTGACACAGAGCCAGTATTTTTCACAAGTGACTGGAGCTTTTTTTAACCTATTTTTCACGGCCAATCTTCAGACCTTTGCTTACAGTGGCAAAAATACTTGCAGCTCCAACAAAAACAAACACATGCAACTTTGGCATGGAGAACCTCAAGCACAGCTCTTGGAGACTAAGGTTCTTTAAAACAATATCTGCTTTCGAAAGCTTTATGGCAAACGATTAATTCAACATCTCAGAGCAAGCAGCAGAGCTCAAACAGACGTCTGGAGTCCAAAAGCCCATCATTTTCCTAAATACTGATAATTCCCCTCTGCTTTGCTTTTCTTTGCCAGCATTGAACCCAAAACCAGAATAACTGAAAGATTGCTTTTTTCAGAGAAGGGCTTTGTCTTGGAGAAGCCATAATGCCATTTGGACTTCTCATAACAAACTGTATAAATGAAACCACATTTTCTTTCATAGTAGGCCAGATGCAGAAGTATGCTGACTTACCTAGGTAAAGATCTGGACACTAAAATACTGAGCAATAACAAGTTCATCATTGAAAATTAATCCAAATACCACAGTAACATCAAAGCATGGAAGGAAAAGGTATAAATGCACAGCCCTTTATTTTTATGATAAGTTTTAATTTAGTCACACCACTGCCTAGTAAATTAATATAAAAAAAAATTAAGAACCAAATCTGTGCTTATATTGGCCTGTAACTAGTGCAGTCTGCCTAACGAAAAGTCAGCCAGCACTGAAGCAAGTACTTACATGCAATTCATTTACTTCCTGTCTGTCTGCAGATGCCGACAGGCTGTAAATCATTAAATTCCCACTGGGCTCCAGGCCTACACCTGCATGCAGCCTTACTCATCAAATAAAACTCCTCCACTCTCCCAAGCAATATTGCTTCATTACTTCTGCTGCTTTTCATAATCTCCAATTTTCATCATTGTGACAGGATTTTAAATTTCCCTGTGCTTACAGTGCTCCAGATTTCTCCGATGACAACTTGAAAGACAAATAAACAGTTCCTCCCCCCCCACATGCAACCAAACTAGGTGAATATTGAACGGATCAATCTGCTAGGCAGCCAGAATTGCAAAAACATCTTTTCTGAGAGGAGACCGTCATGCAGTAGAGGTGCAAATTCTGTTCTGGAAGGCATGCTGAGAATTTCCTTTTCTACTTGTTTCTAGCCTGCTTTCTCATAACTACAAGTGAAGCAGCATCAGGCTGTAATGTGATCTCCAACTGACTTAGAGCACCACTTCCCCTCTCTTATTTTACCAAGGAAAAATTGAATACAATACCAGAAACCTTGAAATGGCTCAATAGTAATTTCAAGAGACCTGTGGTAGTTGTTTAGCTCCCTGAAGTGCTACATAACTTCATTCTTTCTGTTGCATTTATGGTCAGAGTTTCTCTTGCTGCAGTTTTTGAATGCTGTCTTTGTCCAATCTCTGGTGGATCCCCAGGCCCAACTGCAGTGCTGCTGCTCAGACAGACTGTCCCTAACCAGTACAGGCGTTCTACCTCAGGTACACCTTTTTTGATTATTTTAGATTCATTAAGGTTTTTTGTCAGCCTGTTTTGTAGTTGTTTTTTTTTTCTCCACTTGTCAAGATACCTCTGGGCAACTTTACCAGAGACTTGTTCCCCAGTGCTGTCCACCTATGAATATGCTGAGGCTGTCTTCTGTCATATTGTCTAGACCATTAATGAAAAAACTAAGTGATATTAAGTGATATAAATCCCTGATAAATGCCACTGTAAACCAGCAGGGCTTTGCAGTGCCACTCTTTGAACTAAGCTGATAGCGCAGATTCCCACTGACAACCTAGTGATCCAGATCATCTCTGTAATTTGTCTCACGGGACACAAACAAAGGGTGATGCTAAAAGTGTTACTAACACATAGGTAAATTAGCACCTGGTGTCTCTTATCCACAAAGCACCTGTTGAATGAGTTCATGTTGAGCAGAGCTAAATTCCATCTCTGTCTCACAATGACCCCCCCCCCCGTTTCTTTCACTGCTTTCAATAAGATCAGCAAACTACATTGGTTTATGGGAACTATAGACTTTGAAGAAAAAGAGTAATCATGCCAGCAAAGCGTGCTAAGAACTGGCTCCTAATGAGGTACATATCTTTCCACTTCCTGAAGAGAAAAAGAAGAGAAAAATCAAAAGTTACTCATTCTTTTAGTCTTCTAATCTTTCAGAAATATATTCAGGCGCTTTTTCAAAGACCTCAGTGGCAACTCTCCAGTTGGATGGGACCCTAGGCAGCCTGGTATAGTACCAGCTCTGGAGGTTGGTGGCCCTGCCTGTGGCAGGGGGTTGGAACTTGATGATCCTTGGGGTCCCTTCCAACCTAAGCCATTCTATGATCACACTCTATCAAATCTTACAAAAAGCAGATCTCAGCAGGCTGTTAACCAACAATTTGCTTTATAAAGCAAGCACAAAAGGACCTCTCCCCTATTTAAAGCAGCACAACAGCAGCGTCAGTTTAACATGTCCTTTCGTGCACTTTGAGGAAGAAACTCTTTTCCTTTCCCACAATAGTTACAGTTCACCACAGCTCAAGCAAAACTGACATCAAATATTTACTTTTCTGTTATACTAACCTGGTATTTCCCTCCAGCAGTTCTTGTGTGCAGGAGAAACTTAAGAGATTATAAATATGTTTTGTTTGTTTTCAAAGAAGAGATATTAGAAGAGGAACAAGTATATGGACATATGTTATTTGACCTCAAGCTATCAATAAGTGAATACACTACAAAAATATATCATTCATATTTATATTATATACATACAAAATATATAAAGACTTTGGAATAGATATGCTTAATAAATAAAAACATTATATGGTTCAGGATTTATTTTCACACCTGAAGAAGGTAGTATGTGAGAAATGGAAGCTTGAGACAACAGATAAATCTGAAGGGAAATGCTGAATCTTAATTCCTTTGTACATCTGTTCTGAATTCAGTTCCCATTTCAGAATGAGATTAACCTAACTCAACCAAGTTCAACAGAATCCAGCATGACATAAAAATTGACATTAATTCCCTGAGGACTTAAGCTAGATAATATCAAATAAACAGTCGAGGGCAGGCATTTCTGATTTACACCATTGGAATAGCATCGTTCAGAGCTGAACAGTCTATCTCCAAGCTGGGGATCTTGGGAGACCAATGTTTGATCAAGTAAAGTTGAATTTGTCAAAATTAACTTTCATCAAGCACAAAGAGAACAGTAGGCCCTTGTTCATGTCAAGTTAAGTTTTTAAAAATTATCTGTAGTTTTCAACATGTTGGAGTTCACCTTTTTTGAAAGAATAGAAAACCCCTGCGAACTGGAAATTTGTTCTTATTCTTATCAACACTATTGATGTGCAGATTTCCAGTGACAAGACATTTTCTTGCAGATAAATTTAGCTGAGTAGCTTCCCAAGTGAACATTCATAAAACATAAATACATACATGAAAAGACTAGTCCATATAGAAGGAAGCGGCGCCTACCCTCACACTGATTGTACACACAAGGAATTTTACAGAAACTAACAAATACTAGAAAAACATGACAATTCACTTTAATGGGCACAGTTTCACATAAGCTCAATGTACATTTAAAAGTGAGCAGCAGGACAACTGGTCAGATATTTTGTAGCAAGTCTTAGGCACAGCACCAGCATATCAGCAAAAACAACAACAAAATCACATTCTCATTCCCATCACTTTGATAGTTTATCAAAAGCCAGAGGCGTTTTGACAGCAAAAGTTAGTTCTAGAACATAACAAGGGTCCTGCCTGGCGAGGGACATCTGACAGAGATGGAACACAGACTGTTTTTCAATTCTTGTCTTGATTCTGTTGGTGAGAGTCAGAGCTATGTTTATCGAAATAAATGAGATAAGAGTGAGTGTTGCTTAGGTCAGATTTAGGACAGCTGAAGACTGATGTTATCAGCAAAGCTAATTAAATCACAGTTGTTTATAGAGAACGTGGCCATTAAAAGGACAAACAGATCAAAGCTTTATTTGGAAAATAATTTTCAACTCCTTCCTCTCCTAGCATAAGGACAAACAATAAATACCCTCACTAAGGTGAAGATAGAGATATTTCATTATCTTCGTTACCAACTGCCCAAAAGATATTCTTGAGTGATATCAAGACAAGCATTCTTCTTGAATCTAATGAGCACAAAAGCTAGACATGTGCTGATTTGGGTAGTCTCTCAATAAGCAGAGCTGTCAAGAATGCAAATATTTCTTCATTCTTTAAATATTTCCACCTACCTTGCTGCAATCCGTCCAAGTTCCAGTAAACAAAGGCACACTTCTCTTGGCTGCTTGTGAAGAACTGGAAAAGCAAAATGAAGATGGAAAACACTTATAAATGAAAGCTATTTTAAAGACATTTATAATGAACACAACTGAATCATCAACATCTATAACACTTGATGCACATAAAAGTTGCTTTTCTTGGGCTAGCACTGGAATTTGACTGAAATAAAAAATATAGGATCAAGGAATGAGATCAAGTGATGATCTAGGATGTTCCTATTTAATGATGCTTCATTTTGAAAAATATCACTGAAAAATTATTTGGTACCCTGCAATCAGTTTAACAATATATAACAAGTAATCAAAAATAAAGTAATAATTAGATGGTGCCCCCATCCCCACCTTTTACAAACTAAGAGAATTTATGTCCTTTAAATCACTGTTTTTGTTAGCCTACTTATATCAGAAGTATTATCTCCTATTATAGCAAATATGAAATGAGGGTACTTAAGGAATTCAGCTCATCATAAGGAAACCCAATCACACAAAAAACTTTCTGACACACACATGCAAGTTTTTAAGCCTGGATTTTTCACGTCATCTGCAGTTTCAAAGCTGCTGATGCAGCTGTAACTCAGCATAAACTTCATACTCTGAAATATCACCATAGTCCAGTAAAATTCTATTTATCTATCGTGTATTTAAAATTCAGATAGTTAGTGCTTTGCAGAAAAGTCTACTAAAATATTTAATCAAAAAACCAGATCAGCATATGAAGAATGGCCTCTGACTGTATATAATCAGCTTCTCCAAATCCCAAAAAGAGAGACAAATTAAGGAATAAAAAAAATAATATAAAATAATAAAATAAAAAATAGGAGTATATTATCATCATACCTTTGGAAATACCTATTGCAGAATAACCCTCATGTTTTGAATAAAGTTCAGGTTGTAGAAATTTCTGTAATAACTCAAAGACTTATACATTACACAGATCATGAAAACAAAAATCTAGCAACAAAATTGGTTTTCTTTCATTGAGTAGAGGTTAAAGCATCTACTGTGTAAACATTTTGGTTTTCTAACAACTCACTTAACTGAAATGAAGAAAAAAATGAAAAAGGTAGTCCCATGTCTAATTAAAACTCTGGAAGTCACTGTTTTGTCCTATACTGTATGTATGAAACTCAAATGATATCTGAAGTTAAGTACCTCTAAATAACCGATGCCTACACATGCAGACTTTTGCAACTTTAATTTCTCACTCCACTGACTTGAATAAATCTTTGTTAAGTTGGGTGAACTGGATACTCACCCTTAAGGCTTTCACTAGTGTAGCAATTCAAGATGTAGGCTTTCTTCCCCTCTAATTTCACTTAAATATATTCCCTGAAGTAAAACTACAGAGTATGAAAACTAGAATGGCAGTACACTAGGAAAACTATTTTGCATCCTTCAGCCATCTGTAATGAAGAATATAAAAGATGCAGACTTGGACGTTCAGCTATTCTCGATATTTTCCCTTGCCACGGTTCAGTAATTTTATCAAATATTTAATCTTCCCTAACAGTCAGTATTTTTTGAAGTGCTATATTCATGACTCTAGAAACATATACTTTCATTCTAAAAAAAAGTGCCAAAACAGTTAGGATCACCCTGAAATAAAGCCTGATTTGAAGAAGCAAGACGTCCCTGAAACTGCCAGTGGAATAAACCACTTCTGGAACAGCCAAGGGGAGTTCAACAGTTCTGAACTGCAGTTCACATGTGTACACAGCTGAATAACTTTTGGAGGGAGGAAGAAAAGAGAGCCTTGAGTGATACTACTTCCAAAAGGATTCACAGACTGAAATGGAGGAAGGTTTGAAAAAGAAAGGTAACATTTTATGTTGATGCTTAAAACTCTTGTACCCAATCAAAATCCCAAGTTCCTAAGCAAATCAATTTAGTCTAGACACAGTTCATGCATTTCACACTGAAGAAAAAAAAAAAAAAAAAAAAGGAAACAGTGAAATCATTGTTTGAGGATGGAAATCTGTGCAGGCAATAATCAAGCATAAAAACAAACATCTGACCATGTAGTAAGAACAGAGTGACAGCACTTCTAACAAGGAAAAACGTTAGCATTCTTGAGGACTATAGCAGCATACGTAGTTGGGTACTTGAGAGAAAAACAAATATTACTTTGTATATTGCAACACCCACTGGAAATAATTTGGATTCCCCAAATGAAGTTTCTGCTATTTTCCAAAAACCCAGCCGTATGACAGGCTACCATCATACCATTGTATTCTGGAGAATAGAGCACAAGTCACAGGGACACAATGCTGCATTTCTAAACCTATCTGGGTTCCAACATCTGTGGTAACTCTGAGCAAACAATTAGAACAAGACGAACTTCTAAGTGTTTTGATTTCCAAGTACTCATCTTGAGTATACATACTTTGTGTCTACAGCCATTTTTATTTCACATACTGTGGAATAAGATCTGTAGAGTCCTCATAACTTACATCTCAAGTCTTAAACAAATTGTACTGCTGTTCACTGGTAACCATACACATACACAGTTCTATTAACACGTAATGGCACACATACAAAATAACTAGCAGCCTTTGAGGCCAACAGTCAATTCATTCTGAAGTGATTGGTGACAAGGTCAGGCTGAAGCAACACCTTTGACTGTGAGATTCCGTTCTATCCTATGGTAGATGCAGCTCCCATTCTCTTAATGCTTCCATCTGCATTTGTACTATCTCAACTTTTTAACAACACCAGTTATTCCGTTCCAAATATACCACATGGCAAACATCCCTTTGTGAAGCAACACTTTTTTTTTTTTTTTGAGATTGTAGCAATCCATGGGCAGTTAGACACGGTAAGTGCTGAAAGCCAAAAATGGTTTTTAGAAATCGTCTTCATCTGTGTATAACCATATAAACAAACCACTGCACATCAGTTTAAGTTTATAGCATGTTCATTTCCGTGATAGTGCTCATGTATGCTGTATTTAAGAAAAAGGAAGATCTCTCTAACACTCCTATGAGCTAAGTATTATTATTTCCATAGAATTAAAGTATAGGCTTTAGATACAAAAATTAGCACAGGTGCTACTTAAAGATACACACTGCCTGATCTCCATGGTACTCTCGCATTTCCTAATTAAGCATTTTTATGCCAACGCAACTATTGATGCCATTACAAAGTCTGATGTAGATCCTCCTGCTGCAAATGGGAGCCACGTGATCGAGTCAGTCATTTCTCCAGTGCCATTTAGGAACAATATCATGATGTTATCCTTCAGCATCTTATATCATTCTTCAAACACCTTTCAATTTTTGCAACGAGAGAGAAGGAAATAATGTATCACTAAGAAATTTCTCCACTGTGGGAACTCTGCCACATCCAGACACCTTTATGCTAAGATCCACCTGAAGATAAAACTGCCCTTCTAGGGAAAAATAACCTACAAAGGAAAAGTTGATAGACACAAAAGCTGAAAAATCCAATGAACATAGCAGAGCCAGCCTCAATAATAGCTGAAATACTTCACTTCCCATTATTATATCTTCTCCCCCCTCCCCCCCCAAAATCTGCTACATATGTAAGAAAATATTTCTGGAGAACCACCTGCCAGTCCTCACGTAGGATAATTCATCTGATTAGATGACTGTAAGCAAATAGCCATTGTGAATGGAAAGCATGCTGTGCAGATCTACAGCAAAAAAAGAAAAGGAACAAGAATGAAAACAGCTATTCTGCCAGGGAATCTCACCATTTGCTTGAAGAAAGTAAATGTATACATTATTTTGAAACCTCCACATATCTACAAAAAAATATGTTGGACACTTCGCCAGTTACAGGCTCTTTTGCTTTCCATTTAATTTTTTCAAATACTTATCTGTTGTTCTCATTGCCTATGTCTTTCCCAGCTACTTCCAGAAACTTTTTCAGCAATACTTTCTTTTCAGCTCCTAGCAGACTTTTACCCCTGCTTCTCTCTGTCTCTGTCTTCTTTCTTCACACTGCCTCCCATCTTGCCGCTGCCCATTTCTCTTTTCACAGGCTCTCCTCTCCTGATCGCTCTTCCCTTGTTCTCTTTCCTTCAACTTCATTTTTTCCCTATTTCTTGCTCCTTGCATTTCTGCATCTTGCACTGCTCCAGGAAAAGTCAAGAGTGCAGAGAAAGAGTGATTGTCTCACCTGGGGCTGTACAGAAACAGCATGTCACTGTTAAGCACGTTCTGAAAAATCTTGGTTTAAATAAGAAATTTCATGTGATTTTTATCTGTTTTCTAATTAAAAAACAACAGAATGTACATTTGAGATACAGAAAGAAGCTTCTTACATCTGCTTGACAATTTTCAAACCTTGGCTTGTAATAAGCTTTAAAAAAAAAATCATACTTTTTCATCCCAGGAACTTGAATAAAAACAAATATGATTTCTGCTTCTGAAGCATTTTCAAGCTTACTGGACGTGACGAGATAGAGTTTTAATATTTATCATGATACACTTTCAATTACCATAATTCATACGTGTCTAGGGAGGGCTTTTAAGAAGGTTGATCCTTCCCATTGTCTTTCACTTTCTCCTTGAATACTTCCTTATTTACTTCCTTAAAGATCCTTCAGTAGTCTTGGTGTTTTTTTCTCCTGTGGTCTTATTTTTTCCTTTGACAACCTTTATCTTTTCAATTGATCTTAAACATATCCTTTCTTCTGCATCAAAAGCAGTTATAATATGACATACTTAAATCAAGGAGTTGCATTCTCCCCACTCTCTGTTTCAGCACTATCAGCTACAGAATCCTCAAAGCAAAGTTTCAAACAGTAACTCTAGGGATAGTACAGGCTTTGTCTCTAGAGATCATCTAAATACTAATAATTTACTTGAATTAGGATGCTAATTCAATGGTAATAACAATGTCTGGGATGCTTTTATAGTCCTCAAAGCACAATATATTAAAAAATAGTATGAGTTGTTTAGTAATGCTGTGAAAGATGGGACAAAGCCTTATTTTGATGCAACGGTATGATATTTAACACTGTGTCACTGAAAGAACAGTCAACAGAAAAATTAGAGTAATAACACAAAATAATAATACAAAAAAGCAAGCTATTTGCCAATAGACATAGTACTTTTAATCAATCCACTTTTGACTATTATGTGCAGTTTTGTTGTTTCTTTTTTTTCCAAGTCAAACAAGCAACATTAGACTAGAAGTCAGAAGTGCCTGCATTTAAGTTCACTATTTCCACTAAAGCACTATGCATTTTCATTCAAGGAACCTATCAGTTGAACTATAATGATATATAATATATAATAATATATAATAATCAAGAAATTGCATCAAAAAAAGCCCACATCACACATTACGTACACACACACAGTAACAAAATATGAGTACAAAACATCACTACAATATCCAACAACTTTCAAAATGAATGACACACATTAGCATGCTGGCACAACCAGAGGCAAACCCTTTTCTTGCCGAGTAGACTCTCCATCATAGAAGAGACGCAGAACATTCACTGGTTCCAAGTCCTACAATCACCCAACAACACTGTTACCAAAGATGAGTTCATAACTTCAGCTTTAAATTCAGTTAACTGAGGCAATCATAGAAAAGCCTTACCATTCTCACTATTTGGCCAAGAATAGTTTCCTTCAGTTATTACACTCTTCAGGCTTGAGCACCATAATTACAAGTATGTCCATCAAGAATGCTTTCATAAATTGTATTATCATAGCTGTGTGGATCTGCTGCCCTAAAACCTACGGAGGGGGAACTTATCAAATATACATGATATGAAACAGGGGAGTTACAGCAGGTATTACATTTCTTAGTCAACAAGGAGTTTCATGTCCCAGTTTTGGCATAAATTTTCATCTCTGGTATTACGGAAAATCCCATTCAAAGACTGCATTTTCAAGATTTAACCAGATGCTATAAGTTTTACTTCAGATAATAGTTTTTTGCAGTAACAAAGCTAATCCGTTCTTTAAATACACTAACTATAAAAATAATGATTATAAAAAAAAAAAAAAACACTTGAAATTAGTCAGTGAGTACAGGAAGCAGTAAGAGTCTCCCTCTATCTTGCAATACTCAAGATATCTCTACATACAGAGATACCCGCATCATAGAAGCAGGTTACATTTTAGGCCTCAATTTTAAAACTAATTTATTTTCCTGATTAATATCAAGTGATTTTTTTCATATTATTATTAATATTAGAAATCTATCACAAAGATTTTGAAATTCAAAGCCACAATTTCAATGGAAACTCAGGAAGAAGTACTGAAGTATGTCATCACTCCCTACCACAGATACCCATGCATTAAATTAACACACCGCCACAAAAGCCAGCCTCCTATAAATTTATTTTAATCTGAACAAACAAATCCAAACATTTTCTTGTGATAGTTGAAGTGAAATCTAGGTTAAAACACTTACAATGCTTTTAATATTTTACTAATCTCTTGCAAAGGTTTTCAAAGTAATCCCATCAGTTCCTTTGAAGGTATATTTGTACCTACCAAAAGAACAAACACTGTGCTTTCTTTCTATTTATTTTTTTGAAAAGTTGACTGTTTTCTTTTTTGACTTCAACTGTGTAACTTATATCCAACAAAGCATTGCAACCTGTGCTCAAGCTTAATTACTAAGTTAATCTACAAACAATGAACAAGGACACAGTGACACAAGCAAGTCTACTCACCTTACTACATGGATTAGCCCTAGAACATTACCATTTTCAAGAAGACAGACTCAAGGAACGGTCAAAATTCCTATCAACAGCTCTTGCTCACAAGCTTTTATCAGTTATGGGCTGCATAACATTTGTTTCACAATATTCCATTCCATGTGAAGGAAAACCTTTATAGGACTTCAACGTAAGTGCTAGAACTGTGGGAGTGCTGGATGCATGCACATGTGGTTTCACATGGTTTCTAACATGATGTCAGAGACTTCAGATATCACCAGTATGAGAATGTTTCTAGGGAATTAGAAGTAATTAATATTTTCTTAGCTAGTACATGTCAAATTTTACTAATTTCTGAATAGACTTGGAATACTTTAAAAAATATTTAATATCATAAAAACCATTATTCAAATGTTTTGGTGCAATCAATATTCAATTTTATTCTAAAATTATGAGTGGAAATTTGCTGGGAAAAGGCTAAAAGCTTCATGTGATACACTGACATGAAGAAAATATCACTACAGGCAAATAAATGAAGTATTTACATTCTATAATGCTGGTAAAATAGCATAAAAAGGGAGGATAAAAATCAAATCAAGTACAAATATTAACAAAGGTTTCCCAAAACTACCTGCTTTATCACATGGGTTTTAAGCATCAATACTTTTATTAGCTATAGAGGAGAGAAAAAACTTCATAACCACAGTTTTAGAGTTATCAATCAAAAAACGTACAGCAGACATTCATGAGGCAGTGTGAACTCTTTCATGCCATTTGAGGCAGTGTGAACTCTTTCATGCCATTTGCATATGTTCCTCATCATTTTGAACTGAACCTTTTATAGAACTTACCTATGCTGAATTTTTATTTCTTCTGCAGGAGAAAAGTGATTTGTGGGAGAAAGCAGAACATAAAACCTTTCAATTAGTAACTGTTACGATTCATCATTATTTCTAATGTAGTAACGAAAATATTACTCAAATTAACTTTTTCCACGTTTTACCTCCAACAGAGGGAGAATACTAACTCCTATTTTTATCTTGTTTGGAAACAGCATGATCACTACCACCCTGTCAATGTAAGAAAAATAGGTCAAACCATTATCAAGTTCTAATTCCATTTACAGCACAGTAAATCTTTTCAACATGTACTTTCCATGTCCAGTAAGACAGAGTAGCAAAAGAACTTGTTTAAATCATTGAGAAAAATCAGTCAGTAATCAAGCCAACCTGTTAGAGCTACATCTGGTTTGCGCACTGTGTATTTGGGCACATTTCTTTCCACTTTTCTGTAAGGTGAAGTAATCTTTAGCACCAGCTTTCCAGGTGTGTTTGCATTCAGTGTTATCCTGTCGCTAGCAAAGCTCTGACTACGTGTAAAAGTATGCGTAGAATTAACGTAGGCAAGGAATTACATTATTTAAGCTATGCTGATTTCATTTCTAAATAAGATCTGATTTCCTTACGATGCACAAGAAATTGTAAACACTGGAAGTCTGTGTTTCCTTTCTTCTGGAGTTTGTAACACTAGGTAGCATTCAACTTCTCCATCATGTCAAAACTTTTAAAGTATGATTGTTTGTCTTCCATATGATTTACCATGGGCAAGAAAAATTTCATCTTAATTAACAACACAGAGGCATTACATATATGCCTAGTATTTTGTCTTTTTTTATACCAATTTCTTCTCTCACATGCATTTCCTCCTCATAAAATAAAAGTTAAGAAATCCAAGCCACTCGTGTGACAAAATAATAGACAAATGTAGAAGTCTCAGAAGCAGTCATGCTAGAAGACAAAGATTGTAAAAGAACAGATCAATTGCAGTACAAAGAAGTAACTCAGTTGTGCAAAGGCCTTTTGAGAAACAAAGCAAATAATTTTCTTGATAAAGCAAAATGTGTTCATTTAACATCTGTAGAAAGTGAGTGTTTTTGTTTTTGTTTTTTTAAAATGATTGCAGCTACTTACAATTTTGTCCGAGTTCAGATAATAAACACACATTTGATTCTGTTCATTTCTTAATCTATCTAAACCCTGAAGAGTCCTAATTTTTTCCTTTGAACAGGGAAAAGTTAAATTAATGAAGAAGACATATTGTTGCAAGAATTATCTCCTAAACAATTCAATTCTTTTTATGGAGCTCCCTGAAGCACTAGTGTTAGCTAACTTCTAGCTTCTGTCCTGAGCTGCATGCCAGAATCAGCTGGGAAGAAGGTCAGCTGAAGGAAAGAAGGACAGAGAACAAAATCCTATTTTCTTGCCCGCTGAGCAACACACCAAGAATTTGCTCTAGCAGCTAAATATCTGCAGCAAGAACTGAGAACGTACATGTATCCTATTCTGCTAAAATAGGAAAAGACTTCTGCATTCATTGAACAAAGGAATAACATCCCATGATTGGAAAAGTGGGCGTTGTAGGGTGAAATAGCATTTGTATGCAAGAAAACATTGAAAGATTTTTGTTTTACTTAAGGCCCTCTTAAAACTGAATTAAATGAATTTTAACTTGATGGATACTTCATTTGGTCAGATTTGGAGTCAGAATCTATTAGAAGAGCCATTCTCTCTTTCAAAATACAAGCAACAAGCTCTTTACTAACTACTACATAAATAAATACATACCCAAACCTTCCGATTCAAACAGGCAGGTATCATCCACTCCTACATCTCTGCACCAGGATAAGAAATTTGCTGTGTTGTCGCGTGCAAAAAAAGACCCCGAAGGTGCATTGGCTTTGCATGGAATTTTCCGTACTGGCAAGGTCTGAAAAACAACAACAACAACAACAACAACACAGAAGTTAATTAGTACCTGCCACCAACAAATTTCCTTCTTTTAAGAATTCTAAAGAAACAATGAGAAGTGAACTTAGTGGCATAAAGCTGTCAAACACAGAGATGTTTCAAAAATGTTGTGACTGGACACGTGATGCACAGTTTAGAACTGAATGGGTATTAGCAATCCTTTTATTTTATTTTTTCTTAAATAAAGAATATAAGCAACTACAACTTTGGTATTTAATGTTTGGTCCAGTTCACTGAATTAAAAAACTAAAACAAGAGCTTAACGTTATAAAGAAAGATTTGAGGAATTTTCTGAATGTTCCTAAAACCAAGGCAAATTTGAGATCTAGCTTGAGATCTCCCACATTAGAAGAGTTTTGTCAATCTTCCTCTAGCCTGGTAATGGTACAAGATTTTCAATCTCAAGGACAAAAGACTCTACATATGAAAGAAATGGTACCAGCTCCCAACACTATACACAAGCCCCCTCTACACAACACAGAAATGTAGCCTAATTGCTACAAGATTAAGGTCTAAGAGAGAGTCTCTCACTGTACCAGTTAGCTACATAGCAGCTCCTCTGATATCTGAGCTATCACCATAACACATAATTTCTGAACAACAGTAACCATCACAGCAAACTTGTTGCTTGCTTTGGTACTTTATTGAGACATCGAGATGCCAGGAATAATTCAGCATCTAGTACTCATTTAAGACTTCTCCAAAAATGAAAAATCGCCATCTCTCATTTCAGAAGAATGAGTGATATATTATTACTATGTAACTTCAGACATCTTAAATCATAGAGGAATTCAGCTCCATGCTGATTTTCACGTGCTGCTTTTCTATTATGCTGATTTATGAAAAAGCTCCTTCTGTTTTGGAGTCAGTTGTTACTCAATGACAAGTGAGCAAAGAAGGTAGGAAACTGAAGATGTGTGTCTAATAGTTCCTGGATCTACATCCAAATTTTGGTGTTTAAAGTTACAGAATAATTCCTGGAAATGCAGGGAAGGAAGAGGAGCACAGGAGTAGGCTCCTGCTAATTTTACCCACATCAGTACTTAAAGACTTAGGGTTGAGAAATTATGTTGGAGGTACAACAACAGCAGCATAATTGGAGGATACATACACACAACGTTTCTGTTGTTGTTTTAATAATTATAATGATGCGAGAAATTGCCTTAAAAGTGAGATTAAGTTGCCTTAAAGATATACACTTGCCTTACAAATGTTTAGGTCTGTTGCTCAGACTACTATGCAGCTCCCACCTCCTGATAATTCTGATTCCAACTGTAGCATTTTACATTTATTACCTTGCTTTGCAACAATAATAATTTTGTTTCAAAATACGGAGATATTAATTCTTTTCCATGGCATATTAACAGATAAACTGATCAGTTTTATGTGATTATTTAAAAAAGCAACATAATATCAAACAATGAAATTCTTTTACTACAACACCTACACTTGGACCACAGCATCTTTGTGCTGCAATATGTGAACACAGAACCAACTGAGTAAACAGGTCAATGTACAGATATCAAACAGACTATTCCTGAGGAATCTACGTGCTTTGGAACTTTTTGAATAACTATGTCCAATTTAAAACCCAAATCCTGGATGACCATATAAGAGATTAACAGCAGTGGGAAAGGAACAAAATGATAAAAGCTAGTTCCAGTGTTCCTGGTACTTGCAGACTTGTGTATTAGCTACTTCAAGAGAGCACAGAAAGAAGATGAAGCCACATCTAGTCTTCCTTCAAAAATATACTCGCGTTGTCAAATATTGCTGCCTCCCAGCTCACCCCTCAGTTTTCACTGCTGGATTTTCCACAATGCACTGACAGTTACTCGATGCTCTGCTCTGCAGAAAACTAGAGTGTCTTCTCCGAGGCAAAAACCACTCTCAAGCTCAGGAACAGTTCAGAGGGATGCTATGGGTGAAATCATAGCAGGTTTGTTCCTTTCCACTCAATTCTCCAGAAACAGCTCTGTTTTCTGTTTCTTTATTGACTTTATCCTACCACATCTCCCCAGAAGCGATCTTTATTCTTTCAGGTCATGTTATTGGGTGTATGAAGTCTGTGGTAAAACCTTCATATTATTTCAGGAAATCTGAACTAGGAGGAAGGGTAAAAAAGACAAAAGCAAGCAACTACTAAGCTATGTGGCTGGTAGATGCCAGTCAGCAATCAGATTTTTTCCTACTCCAGGCACAAGCAACCTGCCTTACTCAGTCCAGAGTTTATGGGGCAAGAGTCAGCAAGCAGTGCTGGCCTGGGATCAGGAGCTGCTCCTTGGGGATGCCCTCAGCAGCAGAAGAGTAGCAATGGCCAAGGAGATGGCCAAGCAGATGATGCTGCCTTTCTTAATGGGTGCTGTTGGGAAAGCTTTGCGATGCCTGGCAGGAAGGCATCGCATGGGTCACTGTTTCTCTCCATTATTAACAATGTGGGAAGAAATTTGGTTCTAAATATTTTCCATCTGCAGATATAGGTTGTCACAATGACTGCATACTCAATGCATTTCTGTAGTTCTTCAGAATAGATGGTTTATACAGCAGTAATCTGTGCAGTTGTAGTCAGTAAATAAACAATGTAAAACCTCATTTACATAATGGACTATTCATAAATAACACATCTATACTTTAGCAAGACAGACCTTTAAGCACATCAACAGACCTAATATCTCTGTGAAGTTTAGACACCCATGGACCTAACAACAGTTTCTTTACAATTAAAAGAATTCAAAGTCTTAAATACAACGTTTCACAATTATAGCTACAGCCAATAATAAGAGAATCTAGACACATTTATCATACTTAACAAAACCCCAGTATTCCCTACTTCAGAGTAACAGACAAAATATCTGATTAACAGGTCTTCCAAGAAGCTCAAAAGAGAAAAGCACTGAAATGTAAAAACAAGACAGGTATTGGCTACAGAAGGGGAAAACCTTACATAATTAAAGAAAAAAAAATCATTACCTTGCAGTCACCTTGCATCACCTTACATTTTATGGAACAATTGTAAGACAGACCAATATCCCCAGCACTGCATAATCTCACTAACATATAGCATTTGGTATGTCATCCCATTTCCCACAACGTTAGGAATTGAAGAAAACAGCAAAACCTCCCTTCTATTAAACAACAGCAGGATCATGACCAAGTTGATCACAGAAATCACAGGGAAATACTTGTATTTTCTTATCACCTAATAAATCTCCCTACCACCTTTTAAATAGAAATGCAGGCTTGTTTTTTTTCTTTAATAATTCCAAAACTATCACCATAATTTTCAACCTAAAATACATGAAAGCTCTTATTTAAGAAAGCTTTCATACATAAGTATTCTTTACTGATTTGTACAAATGGCCTGAATGGCTTGAAAGTGCTTTCTAGCAGATCGTTCTGAAGTAATTATATTTCCATATGGCACAACTGACTTTTGTTGACACAGTATAATATAACCACAGTTGCTTTGAAACAGCAGTGGCTGCAATTACTCCTATCAAATATCACGAAAACAGTTCCCCAGTTATCCTCCTCCTACAATCTTGTCTTGTTGATGTGCATGCATGTGGTTTAATGCAGGATGTGAAAGTGTGAGTGAAACATATGATGCAATCCTGGAAAAATGCTGTCAGGTTCGCTTCTAAACTCAAAAGGGACTCTCTTACACCAATGCTCTGAAATCACATGGAAAAATATATTTCTCAACTGGATTTCCAAAATGAGGAAAAACACATTTTTAATAGCAGATTTGAGTCACATTTTTAGAATTCCTAACCATACCCCAAATCTCTCTGAATAAGGGATTTCACAGCTTTTTTGAACTGCTACTCTCCCTTGGATACAAGGAAGAAGATTAGCAGTTCTGTCTGTTGCGGAAGAGGTTTAGATAGACACTCATAGGAAAGTTACTTTTACCACCTAATAACCAAAACAAGGTTGGAGGCAATACCCTATTGAGAGCACAGTATTGGAATTCATCAGTGTGTCCATAGTACCAACTTAATATTATTACACGAGTATTAATTGAGAAAATTAATTATATAAGCGAGATTTAACATGTATCTGTCTCATAGCTTTTTATAAACTTGCCTTTAATTTCAAAACTAGCTTCTCTTCTACTTACTCTACATAATCTTCTACTTCATAAATTCTGTTGCCACTTTATTATTATTATTAATAGTATTAATTAGTCTTATAGAAGTCTTCCTCCCCCTGAATTTGCTCTTCGGCTGTGGAATACAAAAAGAGAAGACCTGCCACTACCCTCTCTGCGAATGGTTTCTTTAATTGTCCTTTATTAATTTGTACAATGTAAACAAATCAAAGCTCACTGCTAGAAGAACTTGCTCTTCTTTGAGTGACTGCTGCTCACTTCATTGCAGAGTGAGGATATGTCTATGCAGATGCATTAATTCAGTTACTGTAGAATCATAGAATGCTTAGAGTTGGATGGGACCTTTAAAACTCCCTTCTGCTCTTCTTAATTCTTCAGAAACCCAAAGTTGGAAGATATCAGACTCCACTTATAATTCACAGAAGAGGTATCCCATATTCTAACTTTAGCAAATGAAGTTCATCTTACACCGCACTGCAGTGCCAAGATTCAGATTTAGTGAAAAGCAAGGAAGCATCAGCAAGTATGAACAGAACAATGAATAAATTAAACAATTCCTGCAACAAAAAATAATTACTTGCTTGTTGATACGGTGGACTTCACATACTTCTTTTCCCCCTCCCTACTCCATTTACTATGGCAGACAGGTTCTTCAATCAAAACAATGTAGTAAATGAACAAAATGAATATGGATAACTCTGAATAGAAAAATACGTACATGGAGTTAGAAAATAAAACCTCTCCCATCATAAAAGAAAAAACAACCCAGAATTTAAAGAAAAAAGAATAATACAATCCCCTCTAGTTCTTCTAGAGACAGAATTAAAACTAATAGAGGGAAATTT